GGTGGAGGGACCAGTCTACAATCCCATCTCTGGTCCCTTGGTTCGCTGATCGGGTCATTAAACCACCAGACCACTAGACTCTCTGGGATACTATGTGTGACAGATAACGTGTTGAGCACCCGATATTTGCCAGGTGTCCGGGGGGGCCAGATCTCGGGATTGCTAGGACAACACACCGGTCCCGATGGCATTGACGGTCTGTTTCCTGGGAAGCAGACTTTCACAGGCTCAAACGGAACCACACCGTTGGGGGGGGGGGGGCAGTTCTGTTGGTCTCAGGGTCACTCTGAGTCGGAACTAACCCATAACAGACAGAAGGAGACAGCAAACAGGACTAGCATCTCGATGGAGAGTGCTTTTGCCTGACTGCGCTTCCTGGATGCTGCAGTTTTTACCAATAGAACGTTTGGGGCAACCCTGCGTCGAGCCGATCTGTCCACACCATGTTCCCACTCCACGTCGCTGTGTCGTCCTGACAAGGCTTCGAACGGTGTTTTCATGCCGCAGTGGCGTAGCCAATAGACTACCCAACCAAACTCACTGCCATCGAGTCGATGCCGACTCCTGGCCAGCCTACAGGCCAGGGTAGAACTGCCCGGTGGGCTTTCAAGACTGGAACTCTGTACTGGAGTAGAAACCTTCTCCTGTTCCCTTGGAGTGGCTGGTTGTTTCCAACGGCTGACCTTGTGGTCGCACGACTACGACGCCATCAGGGCTCCTAATAGACTACAGCAGAGTGCAAATAAAACTTGTGCATGTGCTAGGAAGGCAACAACTCAGTGTGATACTGGCTTTATTGTTGTGGCCTAGAACAATACCCACAGCACGCCCGGGGTCTGCTTGTATAGAATTGCCATCAGTGCCGCCTACTTTGGAAGGCACTTAGGGAATGTGAACGAGGGCAGCTGAGCTGGTCTCGGGGGTCTGGAAGCTTCCTCTGGGAAGTGACAGGGAGCTGAAATCTGCAGGAGTACTGTCGGAGTAGGAAGTAACGAACTGAGAGGTACTTAGGACTCAGGAAATAGCCCATACCCCGATCTGCAGTGTGTGTGTGGCTTGCTGGAAAGAACTGACAGCAGCCCACGGTGGTTTGGGGGATGGTGAGCTGCAGGGGCTGGTTATGGAGAAGCAAGGAATGCTTGTGGACTGCATGGGGGACTGGGGTGCTAGCCAAGGGTGAGGAGGAAATCTGGGGATCATTTGAGGGGAGACAGGAGAGTGGAGGATATACTTGGACGGTGAGATGCGGGGCTAGATGACTGAGGTGGCTGAGTGGAGAATGGATTGTGGAGAGACCGGGCACAAGGAGGCACAGGATACTGATCTAGAAAGTTCTTTAATTTAGAAAGTTCTTTAATGGTCTGGAAAAGAGACAAGGGTTGGGCCAGAGGTGATGGCAGTGGGATGGAGGGAATGGTGTTGCATAATTTAGTCTCAAACCCAAAATGTGGAGAGATAAAACCGGAGTCGTGGAGAAGATACTGCCATTATTATTATTATGATTATGATTATTATTTCTTTTTTGGATTAAACACATTCCAGGATTTTGACTGAAATCTTGGCTGCAGGGAGATTTTTACAGCCCCATGAAAACCCACACTTCCCGTTCTGCACAGACCCTTCCCAGACCCCAGCCGGACCCACCTGCATCCCAAAGGGACAGAAGGCACATGAGCCCCATCCACAGCCTCCCTGGAGGACCACGCAGCAGGAAACTCCACATGCTGGTGAGACCCTGGCCCACCTGGAGAGAAGCAACAAGACTGGAGGCCTCTGGTCAGCTCACTGCCCGCACAGGTGCAAACGCACCTTTGAGAACAGAGCATGGGCCCAAACTCACCGCCACTGAGTTGATTCCCATGTAGAGGGAGCCTTTAGGACCGAGTTGAACTATTCTTGTGGGTTTCTGAGCCCCATCTTTCTCTCTTGGAGTAGGCTGGTGGTTTCTAACTGTTGACCTCATGGAGAGTAGCCCTGCTCATAACCCGCTATGCTACCTGGATTCTTGCAGCACATGGGTAGTCATTAAAATTAGCATCTGGGAAAGGGTGTGTACTCTTCAGGAACCCCTAGGTTATGGTGATATAACAAGTTGACCTCACTGTGGCTTAAGACGACAGTGGCTGACTTCTTGTTTATAGAACATATGGACTGCAGATGGTGAGGGACTCTGCTCCGCCCAGTCACTCAGGCGCCCTGGTTCACTAAGGCTCCA